CTTCAAATCAGGATTGCCAACCCAAGACATTTTTTCCCTTACAAGCTGCCAAGTTTTTACCGCTGACCAAACTTTTTTACTGACACATGTTTTACATAATGTAAACGTAACTCTTCTGCTAAATACTGGACAAAGGCTGGGTTCAAACCATAATAAAAGTTTGGAGATTATCAGTAAAAAAAAATGGTTTTGGGTTGATAACCCTACTTGACTACAGCAGTGGTTTGACCCCTGCTGCCCTCACCCCAGGGGTCCCATACTCACCCCCACACATTGGTACTGCAACCCACACCATGAAACCCCTGCAACGTGCCACCCTCCACCTTACCCCTGCCAGCCCCATTCCCCTGTCCCAACACAAATCCCCAAAGAACAACTATCATTTTCCTACCTGCCACCCAGCATTTTTACAGGCAGACAGAAGGGAGCTCCAGGAGCAGCATCAGCATGAGCAATAGCTGGGGGTTGGGGAAGGAGCCATAAAGCCCTGAGAAATTACCTCCTGGGTGCTGCACTCCTGCTCAGACACCAGGTGGCAATGCTGTTCTCTGTGTCCAGATTGGTTTCCAACCATGGAGCTTCAATGAGCTCCGTGCTTTTATGGAGCTGATTTTGCTGAGCTGTTTTTATTTCATGATTTCTGGAAGAAACTGTTTTCTTATGGACTTTACAGACAGGCACTTTCACCCTGCTTTTGTTTTTTTTATGGAGTGTAAATTTAGGGTGACTTGGCAGCCCTGGTTCAAATCTACTGGAAGTCTTTAGCAACCACAAGCGCTCAACACAACTGAAAATCATGCCCAGAGAGCCTAGTTTAGCTCTGGTGATAGCCCAGTGACTTTTGGGGCAGTGCAAATTCAGTTGCTGAATACCTTAGTCTCTGCAATAGTTGCTTTGGTTGACCTTAAACTCCATGAATTTGGGTCAAATTCAACATACCATTTATGCCAAAGAAAATGGGGAAAAAAATCTTTGGAAATACTAAAGCAAAATGTTTTGCTTTTTGGCCTAGGTTCACAAGTAAATTAGGCATTAGGTGCCATTCATTCTACTAGTCTGGAAGGGAGGGGATGTTACTACTTTTGTATCTAGTAGCCACACCTGTTATGTTGGTTGTAGGCGCAGTCCACCCCTTCTTTCACTGAGAGATTTGAACCTCTCTCTTTCAACCTCATGAGAAAGTAGTTAACCGCTGGGCCACAGAGATATCCTTTCTTTTTAGCACTTTCTCTTGTTTTTCTACTTAAATAACATGTAATTACGTATATAGATTGAAAACACTTTAACAGAAAAAAATGATAAGCCCTGACTTTGGAATAACTTATAGCTGGATGGCTTGGTTACTCCATGGCATGGGAGAAGAAGGCAGTTCTAGTCCCTACTCTGAATCCAGAAGATAGTGGGCTTCATGAATCTGGCTTTCCCACATCCCAGGGAAGGATCCTCATTTTAGAATACAAGCTGAAAGGGGGAAAGAGCTTTTCTTCCCTGGCCTTGTGAAACTAGCCCTTTCTTCAATTAAAAAAAGTGCCCAATCTAAGCAATTCATTTTGGGTTGAACAAATGTTTTGTTTGACTTGAGACAAGTCTGCTTTTAAAGTTCATTTCAATTCACTGAACATTTTTCAGGAAAATAATTCCAAATTTAGTCTTTTTGTCTTTCTTTCCTTTTTTCCTTTTATTTATTTATTAATTTATGGGGGGGGGGGGGTTGTTTTTGTTTTTTGCAGCTACCAAATTGGAAAAAATAAATCAGTTTATTTGCACAGGTCTGATAGAGTTATGCCAGGAGTGAATCTGAACCAGTGAGCCAAGCCCTTGATTTCCATCCAGGCAACTTCAGTAAGGTCAGTGAGGTTAAACAGCACCATTGAAGTTGGAATTTAGGCCATAAAACTGCAATGGCTCTGGGCTGTTTGTGTTATACAATAAAACTTTTGATAAAGGTGTTAGAAAAAGCCTCTGTTAAAAATACAACACTTGCAATCATATAACTGCGGGACTAATACCCTATCGATGTTACTGGAAACCAGAGTGCACTGTACAGCGTTCCACAACTAGCAATCTATATTATCATCTAGAAGAATGTGCCAGCCAGGTCGTCATGAAATTCCAATTTCTGCTAGGCACTGAGGCACCTTTCTGATTTTTAAAACACCAATCAGAGTTGACACAACATGAGCCGCATACACCTCACTGATGGCACCTGGCTGTACTAAGATGAGAGTGTGTATACTATGTGAAAAATGTAGAACAAAAATATGTTTAGCTATAGCAACTGAGGAAACAATACAGCTGGAAGGGAGGGGGCAGGGCATCAAAGAATTACTTGCGTCGGATGGTTTAGACGGGGATGAACCTGCTGTGAGCAGGGGGTTGGACTAGATGACCTCCCGAGGTCCTTTCCAGCCCTACTTTCCTATGATTCTATTCATAAATACACCTGAGATTTACAATCTGAACAAAACTCAACACCTTTTATTTATTCAAAACTTTTTACCAATATTAACCCATGAATATTTTTCAGTATCCCAAGGAGGGAGGCACTGCTGTTCCAGATATGCAGAAAGGAGTGAGCCTGGCCACAGGGTTAGAACTCAGGCTCACAAGACTCTGAGGCAGGTCTTACGCCTCCATTCCCACAATGCAATGAACACAGTTATTATATTCTTCTTGCCAGATGATGCTACGAGAGGACAGGAATGC